ATATATATATACATATATATATTGCAGTCAGGGTTTTATACACAAAAATTAGTCTTTTGTAGAATCTACACAATATCACAAAACAAAATATTTTCTTACATCCGTGAAATGTACAGTTCCCACGCACACATTTAGAGCTTTTTCCACAGATGTTTGGTAAATGAAGCCACAGATGATTTAAATAAATGGTTGATCAAAGAAATAATCATTACATGATCTTTTTAAAATGATAAATCCCACAGCAGTTTAGGATTGTCTGGCTTTGTTTGTTTGTTTGTTCTTTGGAGACTATTTCTACATTTTAGAAAAGTGTGTTGAAGAAGAGTCAGAAGGGACTTCTTCTTGTCTCTCTAAAACTAAATCTCTTTTACTTCTGTTAACAGAATATGGCCGATTCGTTCCTGGATGGCGACATGACCCTGGACTCCTTCATCGATGCCTACCAGAGCAACAGGAAGCTGGCCCACTTGAGAAGGGTGAAGATCGAGAAGCTGCAGGAGATGGTGATGCAGGGACAGAGGCTCCCCCAGGCGTCGGTCCCCACCTCACGATCTCAGGATGTCTCTGCGGCAGCCAGGACCTCGTCCTCCTCCCTCCTCACCGAGAGCAGCACCTCTTCCCCTATCGCTCAGCCGAGGAGGAAACCCCCACCTCCTCCGTCCCAGCCAGCCCCAATTCTAAATTCAGCTCCAGCTCCAACCGCTGCTCCCCAGCCTCCTGTCTTCTACGCAGCATCACCATACCCGCCAATTCCTCCCAGAACAGGCCAACCCTTCCCCAACGTCTCCTCTGGCTACCCCAACCACTTTCTATCTCAGTACCCCCCTGCTTTGCCTCAGAGGCCCTCACCCCGTATGGCACCGCAGCCTGGCTTCATCATGCAGTAAATAAAAAACAGCTGCCACTCTGAGGTCGCGGTGTGTGTGACGTGGACTTTTCACTACTGGAACTCCTCTGGGAACATTTTTTCTATGTCGTCTGCCTTCTTGGATTACGACCAATCACAAGGCAAGAAGGTCGACCTGCGCTGGCTGGTCTGGTCACATTCAGCTGAAGCAGACCTCCAATAATCTCTGTGGGTTGGCGCTCACCTGTCACTCCCGTCAACACTCCCAACAAAAAAAAGAAAAAACAAAAAAAAAATGACGAGATCGGCTTCGAGTCCCGTCAGAGGAAGGGCCCACTAGTGAAAAAATGTCTCAGTCCCTGGGGTCGCTGAGTTGGGACTTCATTTATTAGCACTTTCTGTCTCCTGGCAGCGCCCTCAGCTCTGCGCTCCCATTAGTTTTCGGTCTTTCGGCTCCTTTCAAACATGTTCCTCAAGCTTTTACAGAACACTTAAGTCACTGAAAAAAGGGTTTGATTAGTCATTTCCATCTGCAGCATACTAATTTACTGGTAATGTATATGCAAGCAAATAGAGACCCTAATTACTGTGCAGTTTTGATGAAAATATCATTGCTGAGAATATATTCAGGCAAAACTGCATCTATGCTGTGATTTTTTTTTTTTTTTAAATCTAAAAATTCACAAGGTACATAGAAATATTTGAAATTTCAGCATCTTTTTATGATATTGTACTAATGGAGTTATGTTTATAATAGCCAGGATAGACTGATTAACATGTAAACGAGGGCTATGGTTGGTGTATCTCTTCTTCAATATGTGGGTGTGTCTCAAGAGAGTCCAGACTTCAAGATGTCTGACGGTTGCGCTTGGTCCATTTCAGGGCAGAAGTCAAAAGGGAGTTGGAAGGAGAGGATTAGCAGCTGAGCTATTGTAACAAACGACAAGGCCTGTAGAGCCCCGTCTGAAATGAAGGATTCGTGTATAGCCATACAGTACACTCCTGGTGTGTGTTGTTTTCTGTGGGTTCCTGTTGTAATGCAACACTCCTTTATGATGTCCGTTGTCTTTAACCTCCTCAGTAGGGATTGGAGATGATGCCAACAGTTCTTTGGATCTCATACGTATGGTCCTGTTCAGTTATGTGTCACACTGAGCACCAAAGACTTCCCACATCACTCGGTGTTCAAACCTTTTTTTTTTTACTGCCATCTCTTTTTTTTAATGTAAGTGAAACATTTAGTGAGGTAGTGTACCATTGTTCCCGACATATCCGTTTGTGATGTTGAGCTGAAACACTCTTTTTGTAAACATGCAACCCAGATTTCTCTAAGAGGAACTTGCAAGATCAACTTGGCTTTGGGAGGAAACTTTTATCCTGGTGCGATAGAAATTCACGTTTTTGTTCCTCCCGACTGCTGTCGCTGTGCACTGTTGAAGAGCCACGAGTGCCTACACTTGAAGTGACGTTGATCACGTCCTGCTGACTACTCAATGTTTCTCTATGCTCAGCTGTAGAGGTTAGAATCGCCCCCGCCCTCCCCAACCCTTCAAATAAAATAATAAATGGCCAAGCATTTGGTTTCCTCCTCCTGCTGCTGATTTCATGTTCCGCCAGATAGTAAAAAAAGGCAGCGTCTGGCTGTTTGTGTGTCGGGCTGTGCTTTCTCACTAGAAGCAGAAGGCCAGAATGGAGCGATACTGAACATGTGCCAGAGAGACAAGAGACACCCCCCGGCTGTGTGCCTACTGGTGCTTGTACTTCTCTTCCATTCTTCCTCCGTTGTGTTGAGGTTTGCCTGGGGTGAATTGTCGAGATTTATGCATGTGTTGTTGTTGTTGCTGGTTTTTTTTTTTTTTTTTGTTTCAATTTGTGAAATAACAGGGCTCTGAAATGTTTTGTGTCATATCTTGGTGATAATACTTCAACCTCAAGGCAAAGATGTGAACCACAGAATGGATAAAATATACTTTTCAGCAGGCAAAACTAGAGAAATAGCAGAGGCATCAACGTCTCAATCAACCAGCATTTCTAACAACTAACATTGGATAATTCTTTTTGTGCATGGCCTTCGCTCTTTGTGTTCAGTCTGAAGATTCCTCTTTAATACATTCTTATTTTAGCTGTTGAGCTGCTTTTTACGTTTGAACTCATCCTCTGTATCCATTGTTTTATATGTGACTGGTGATATTTTCAGTGTAATGTTGTAGGTATTTACTTATAATGAATGTTTAAGTGGAATTTAATGCTATTTTCAAGTTCAATAAATCTCAAATTTTTGTATCCGTTTCTATCCAGATGCTTTATTACACTGAACACAAATTACTTCTCACAAGTCCACAGATGGCGTATGCAGTTATGTGTCTCAGAAGAAGAGACCGCAGTAACATGTTTGTGAAAATGAAACAAGACAGCCACCTAGTGTTCCTGGGTGGGTAATGAATCCAGTTTCACAGAGGTGTGAAAGATTATGGGCCATCATTAATAATGTGAAGAGAAATACATTGCTTAATACAGATATATCTATAGACATATTTCTCTATTTATATCCAATATTAACAATAACAAACCACTGCTATGATTAGTGTTTATTGCAAAAACTGTCAAAGGTATAACATTGCCAGTGTTTTTAGTATTACATACTGTATATACTTCAGAAATGGAACAGAGGGCCAAGTACTAACTGGTTTTAATGAGCAGTTGTGTTAAAAGAAATGACACCTCACACTCCCAAACGAATATTTTAGATATGATTTGTAATGTGGAAGTTATGTCACTCACTCTATGTTGCAGACTGGTTGTCTACTGGGATGTGACTTATTTTATTACACTACATCAGTGTAGTGCAATAACTGTAAAACGGCTTGTGGTTTTGAATGCAGCCCTGCTTCAGTAACGTTGCGTTCATGTCCCATTAAAGGGCGGAAGACGGAGTTTTTATAATGGGGAAAAAAACAATGCTGATGTCACAGTATAAGTCCTATGAATTATATATATATATACATTTGAAACAAACAATAATTAGCATCTTCTAAATACATGTTCCAAGTCAGTATTTCATTGTTTTCAGGGGAAAAGACTTTAAAGGCACTTCCGAGGCACGCCCACTCGACCAGGGCCTTGTTTCAGAATGGGCGTGTCTGCTTTTGTTGTGTTTTGTGGAGAAGTAAACAAGCTTCAGGCGGAGTCACCTATTGATTATTTGTCCATTTTTACTGAATCTGTCAAATTGAATCGCATCGAGTTGAACAAAGATATTGTGCTCGAACTTTTTGGTGAATCAGGAAAATGTGTGAAACGTTCAAATGCAGACAGGGAAGATAACAATAAAAGCTAAGCCTACACAGAACATTGCAGAGAATGTGAACACAATTGACACAGCACCTGCTTTAGACGCTTCCCCTCCAGTGCAGCAATATTTAAAAGACTTTCACCACCGTTTATGTTCCCTAATGTGCGAGCAGCAGCGGAGGAAACAGCCAGTCCATTCGGAGAGGTTTCGTGTTTTTAACGCACCCCTAAACCACGTGTTACGTTTCCATAGTCACGTCACATCGGCTCCACCATGTTGTAGGAAATCCACCGCTGCTCCTCACTCACTGTCAGATTACAGTTTAATCCGAGGAGGAGGAGGAGGAGGAGGATACGCTGTCAAGACGCTGCCTGCATCTTGGAAAGACTCTCGGTGTTTATGCTTACTAAATAAACGCGACTTTACGTACTAGTGTCAGTCTCTACAATAAACGGCCTGCACGTAGAAGATGCACCGCCAGTCTTCCGTCGCTGTCTTCGCCTGTCCGCCGACCTGCCAATACGTTAAGATGTTAGCTGGCTAACTAGCTGGAAAAGAGTAACTAAATCGGATTAGCCGCTAACGGCAGCCTCCCTCTAGGTAACATCCAGGTATTATTTGCTGCACTGGTCAACTATTACACAGCAAACCGTCGTCTCCTGTGTTTTTTTAAGTTTATTACAATTCTACATTTGTGTCAACATTACTACTTAACGTCAGTGCTGTAATTACTCGCTAGAATAAATGTTGCTGCGAGCTAGCTAGGCTGTTAGCCACCCAAGCCACAACAAGAGCTGGAGCTCCTCGCTAGCTAATCTTCACTGTTTGTTGGAAAAGAGAAAAATTAACGTCAGTGCCTCCGACCGCAGCCGAAGTCAGGACGGAGCCCACGGCCACGCTGATGTGCTTGTGCTAGCTTGTCTTCGGGCTAGCTGGCAAGAGGGCTGTGCAAGATTGTATCCCTGAAATTAGCCTTCAGACGAAGCAAAGATGTCAGGAAAGGATAAAGACAAAGACAAAACGGAGAAACAGTCCACAACGGAGCGGCTGATAAAAGGTGAGTGTTTCCGTCAGCGTGAGATGCGCATTAGAAATTGTCTGACTGGCAGCTAACGCACGGATTGAAAACCACCTGTAGCTGGTGGAATAACTTTGTCTAAAGCCTTTCTGTCAAAAAGGCTGTAGTGTGTGTAATGTTAGTGCAACAGCGAGAGGCCAGGAAGCATTCAGTCATATGAGATACAAGTTGCATATAGAGTAATTATCACTTTTGTTGTATATTGCACTATTGTCATACCCATATGGGCTCCTCAGCCTTTCCCTTTTACCAGAAGATGCTCATGTGTCTGTGGATAAGGATCTGTATCACTGCTTAGGACAGAACTTCTTTAAGGTATTATCTCCATAGTTCTCCACTGGTGTATGTAATACACTGCCTCATTGCAGAAGTCAAAGGCAGTGCGTCCTACATCTATGCCCAATCTCCTTGACATTTAGGATGGGCGAGGTCCTAATTCATGGGGCCGTCACTCACTCACGGGAACACCCGAGGTCTGCTCAGGTTACGAGAAGAGCTTTACAAGATGGATTCCTTCACGCTGAGGTTGTCGTGGCTTATTGGACAGACAGGACACCATTTGTTGTGTCTGCCCAAGACGGGACAGTCAGAGCCAAGTGTGAGGTAGCTCCCGAGAGAGAGAACCCAACCCCACCACTGCTACTTAATGCCAGCGCAGCCCACATCCCCCGTCTGTCTGCAAGGGCACTGGGAGAGTGTCCTGCCAGGGAACTGGAATGCTGATGTGTGAGCCAGTAGGGAGAGGGTGAGTTAATTGTGGAAAGAATCTCCCCAGTGATGTTCCCAACATGGCCAGCCACATGGTGGAGAGAGAGAGAGAGAGAATGGGAACGTGACAGGGAGGAAGAGAGACAGAGGAAATATAGACTGGAGTAAAGACAACTTTGCTTTAGGGTGGGGACCCCAAACCAATACTGGTGCCCTATTAAAAAGTCTGACATCCGTTGTTGCTATCCACATCATGCATGGTTGTTTTGAGTGCATACTTTCTCAAATTGAGTGAAATATCAGTATATGAGGTGATCCTTTGTTGTTGTCAGGTAATCGCATTGGTGTTTCCAGTGTAACTGGTGTTTGTAAGAGGGCTTAACTGGTGGACTGCATAAGACTAATGCTGCTCTCGTTGTGTAAGTCAACAGTTAAGCTCATGCTGAGTATTGCAGTCGACCTGGTAGCTCCATCACTTGGTCATTAGATCTCGTGTTTTCTCCCCAGGCCATGTGTGAACACACTAACAGGCGTGTGGAGCCCCCTGTACTCACTGATGACAAGACTTTGCCAGGCTGCGTTTGGTTTTTGAAATCTCCATTGCTTTCTGTGACAAAGATTCGTGTCACTTTTGATCCGAATTGAACCGCATCGCTGCTGCTTGTTAAACCTGATCCTCCGTGTCTGGAATAATATCAAAGAGATATAAGACACACAGTGTATAGAGAGAATAAACCCGAGGCCTGGCGGTTTAGCTCGCGAAGGTAATGCATTCACTGATAATTAGAGCAATCTGAAGTGGACTTCATGATTCATCCAGCCACAGTCTGCTCCATTCATCTCTACCCAGCCGCATCTTTGTAATTCAATCCCCCTCTATTGTGTTGATTTTGAAACAATAGCGAACATATTCTAGACCCTGGCTCATATCACTGTCCAAAACATTATCCTCGGTGGGCAGGATGGTAGATAGTAGTGTCTTTTGTTTCTTGACTCGTTTGTTGTCATGCCAGACAGTGTGGGTGTTGATGCAGTGCAGCGGTGGCCCTGTGTGTGTGTGTGTGTGCGCGGTTCTGAAGAGTTCATCAAACATTAATGCTAATTAGGCCATGCAGTCTCTAATAAGAAGCCAGTGTCAGGGCGGTGGCGTCTTATTATTTTGAACAAAACATTTTTCTTCATGGGGTTATGTGTGTGGGGGGAAATAAGTGTCTCACTTCAGTTTGTCTGCACCGTGGCTTTGTGTCAGCGCGCGGCTGTTTGGACTGAGCAAGGCTGTGTGCTGGCAGCCAGAGATTCATTTCTATCTGTGTTTGAACAGACGGGTCCAGCCTTGATTGTACAGGCAAACCCACCCAGAATTTATTATTGTTGTTGTTGTTGTTATGGGAGGGCGGGAGGGGGGTCATTCCTGTTGAGTTGGAAGGAGTGTTCGGTCCTTTGGCATTGAGACCAGCTATTATTGTCCAGCACGGGTAATTACTGCCAGCCTGTAGGCAAATGCTCGTAAATTTGGTCAGCGTGTCTGTTGCCTGAAATGTTTGACGGTCTGGTTATCTCATGCCCTATTATGTATCCCGTTCTGTGTCATCGTGTTTTCACAGAGTCTGCTTTGTTCGTACTGGAGCCTTCCTTCAGTGTGACGAGGCTTTTAAGTAAACAGCCCCTGAATCTGGAAGCCCTTGCTAATAGAAGCTTTACCTAATCTGTTCTTAAGGCTCGTACCTCAGCTTACAGCTCTGTTCGCGGCCGTGCTTCGTAGGCCTGGGAGCACTTACTGTTTATTTATACCACACTGGTCAACGTATGACAGCTTGTCCTCGGCACAGACCAGCCGAGTTGGAGCTGTGCTCGGGCTTCTCCACGGCAGGCCAAGGCTAGTCTGTGGCCTAACTAACATCAGCAATGCATTTAACAGCGTGTGTCAAACGTTTCTTTAAAAAGCCATGAAAAACATCAGAGTGGATCAGCCTCTAAACTCAGTGTGTTCCTCAAGTCCAGACTGAGACACAACCCTGAGTGAGACATACATTAGGCTCCCCCTGCACTCAGGCACCGCATCACTGATTAGCAAACGCACCCACACTAAAAACTCATTAGTGCTTTTTTCATATAGCACTTTGATTTGCTGTGTGTGGGTGTGACAACATTCTCAGAATGCCTCTCTCTCTCTCTCTCTCTCCTCCTCTTGTTCTTGTGCCACTGGCACAGCTTATCGCATAAGTAGTGCTGATTTCCTCGAGCTGATACAGGTATTTATGTCACATTTGATGGCACGGGGTGTCCTGTGCACCGACCTGTGGATGGATCTGATCATATCAGGAATCCAGGATGAAGCGGCACAAGTGTGCACCGTGGCAGGGTTTTCTGTGCTCTCTTTATTAGCTGCACTAAGGCTGTCGTTTAGAACACTCTTCTTTTTTATTTATGCCTTACAGACTGTGTTGAACCAGCCTTACACCATACTTAATTGGTGCCATAATGTATTTGGTGTGTGCCTGGTCTGTTATTAGGCATACCAGCTGTAATCCCTTTTACCTCACAAGCCCTGAAGTGAGAGGGCTTGGATCACACTCTACTATTGTTTTGAACAAGTGCAGCTTAGTCTGCAGCTATCTGCCCCTGGACTGTTCTGAACTGATGAGCTGCTGCCACTGTTACAGTACTAATCTGCACTGTGAACAGCGTGGTACAGAGTTCAGTTTGAGCCTTTTTAATAGTGCTAGTTATACAACTTCTCATACACTAAAACGGGATATAATTCACATGAATGTTTGATTTTGGAGAATTGGATTGAATTATGCTTTCTTTTTGTCAAGTATGTTTTATTGAGGATGGATTACAAAATGTAGGACACTGAAGAAAAGCAAAGCTAATACAACAGATAGTATCAACATAACTGAACACAATGTGGAATTATGCTTTCTTAATGGCATATCTGGTGAGTCTGTATTATAAGGCACAGTTTTCCTTTGGAGAATAGCTGTCTGTGTCTAATGTATTAACATTACTACCCTACTGCTGCGTCCTCTATTTGACAGTGATACATTTTGCAGTTTTAGGATGTTGCGCACTTGACTGTTTTGATGGCGAGGCGCTCAGGTCTCAGCCTCGAAAAGCATTGACCTTTTGCGATGACAGTAAAAGGATTGTGTAGGTGGTATGGAGCAGATGAGTGAGGGAGGGTGGGTCAGGTGAGTCGCGGGTCTTCTTACGGGTCTGTCTCATGCATCTTTTGCAGTCCGTTATCATGTAGGTGTATGCATCCCTCCTGCTCTGCCAATAACTTCACCTTGTCTCAGTTAATGCAAATGTCACTTCTTATGATGACAACTTTAGCTCCATGTGTGAAATGACCATCTCTTCTTGCTTAGACGCACATCTAATTGTCTCTTGAATGCAATATTGACAAAACCGAATTGCTGTAAATGCTAAAAAAAAAAAAAAAAGCTACAAGAATTTGAATTAGCTCTAAGCTATTTATTCTAATAGATGGTGTTGCTTTTTTCCTTCAACAGCTGTGCCATACCCTCCACAGCATAAGCTGACTGTGAAAGAGCTGTTCGAAGATGGCAAGCCCAACGCTGAGCTGCTTCGCAACCACCTCGTCAAGGAGGGCAGGGTGGAAGAGGACGTGGCTCTAAAGATCATCAATGATGGGGCCAACATCCTCCGCCAAGAGAAGTGCATGCTGGAAGTGGAGGCGCCTATAACAGGTAGGCTGGCACATGCTCACTCAGAGTCCAGGCTCAAACTCTGGACTGACTGCTGACAACCTTGGAAACATCAGTCTTAAAAAGTAGATGTAGTACTGTGTGTTGTCCCTTGTGCATGAGGGTTCAGTAGAGCTTCTTCCAGTGCTACCCTTGTGAAGTAGTTTTAAAGAGTAACTGTTGGATGCAGACATTAGTCATTCCAAGACAGCACAGATAGTGTTGTGAACAAAGAGTAAACACAGCACCAACCGAGGCATTATTCCATTGCCACACTGTTTGTGTATGCCGGCAGCTGGTGTATACCCCGTTCTGTGCCAGATCCAAGGGCCTTGCAGGCTGTCAGAGTCAACTCAGTCACCAGTCAGTTCTTTAAAAAAAATATCTGCTCCCTCTTGGCTGACCTTTGCATGGCCGAAATTCAGCACCCTCACATCCAACCAGCTCTCCAGAAAAAATGATATATGCTGTATATATGAAGGGCATAACTTAATCGGCTCCCCCGGTTTTGTTACTGTTCAGTTCCCCTCAACACAAAAGTCATGTAGCATGATATGGCTAACGTGCACATGTGAAAGTTGGACACTTCCTGTGTTCTGCAATTTGACAACAACACGTCTCTTTGCTGTTATGTGGTGGACAGGAGAGCCTTTATATCTTATTTTAGCTTCACTCTGGGGAGAGCCAGTGTGATAATATCTTTGCATGCTTATATGGTTTATTAAAATAGCCAGCACAACCTTCACAGCTGACAGTTGCTAGTTAGCAGAGATAATAAGAGGATGAACTTTCCTAACAAAAAAAAGTATTTATAGCTCAGTTGTGTAATAACGTGTGCAATACTGTTTCCACATTCCACAAAATCAAATGTAATCTAAATCTAAATGCTCTCATCTGCACACAGCTGATACCAGTGGTGTCATTGCAGGGTCAGATCTGCAGTGTTTCTCAGTGTACCTGACTGTAACAATTCATATGCTAGATCAATACATCAAAGCTAATTATCGATGCATTGCATCAATTTGAAAAGTCAACTTAAATGTCTCTGGCTTCAGCATTAATCAATATGAAACACTTTCACTGAAACTCCTCCCTCCCCTGCCATGACTCAGTGAGTTTAAATGATTAGTTTAGTAGTTGACAACTTATTGATTAATCGATTAATCGTTGCGAGTCTAATCAAGGGTATTCAGTCTTTAGATCTTTGCCTCTGTCCTCTAATTGGAAGAAACTGTTTAATGAGGAGACTCCGATATCTTCAGTGTTTGGTGTCATATCACAGTATTTACTGAAATAACAGGCACAGTATTTTGTGTCTCTTATATTAGAATATTGATTAAACTATAACTGTCTTGTCTGTGTTTCATTTTGTAGAGGAGGGATATAATGGATATAAAGTTTTTCTAATCATTACTGAATCCAATCCTGATTTGAGGAGAAAAATAATATCTGGCCTAGAACGGAATGGAAAACTTGTTAATGTACAGAACTCTTTGAAACTGCAAGTTTAATAAATGTAGAGGCTTCTTTTAGGTTTTTGTAAATATAGCTGGTTTTAGAATAGACAAATAGCAATTTGTAAATCCAGACAGAAACATCAGTGTGCCTTGCACTTGTTGTTACATGAGGAATTAACAGCAGTGTGTTTGTCTTTTGGCAGTATGTGGTGATGTCCATGGCCAATTCTTTGACCTTATGAAGTTATTTGAAGTGGGGGGATCACCCAGTAACACACGGTATCTCTTCCTCGGTGACTACGTAGATCGAGGATACTTCAGTATTGAGGTAAGTTGTTGTTTATTTTATTAATTTGTAATAATTTATTTTACATTTAAAGGGGGAAAAATGACGCACCTGTATCCAAACTAGGTGTTTAGTTCACAGAGGATTTGAAATACATTTGGTCGAACAGGTATCTTATCTTAATATTAACTCTATAGTTGAATTCACATAGTTGAATTCTCGTCTTAAGATGTTATATGTTGGATAAGCTATATTGTGAGGCTGTAACAATGCACACTATTCACTGTTAATTCAATTTTGTCAGTATTGTCAATACATTTCATTAGAGCAGAAATTGGTTCCTTTCTTTTCCTGTGTCTTATTTTATAAAATGAAGTTTGTCTAAAATGTTTTATCAATACAATTTTAGACAAACTTTCACTCATTTCTGCTGTAAATGAAAATGTATTGAAATTAGGACTTCCCAATTACTCTAAACATTATTGAAATCGCAATATGGCCAAGTGCAATCTGAAAATCGCAGAATCAATATGCTTTAATGTTTAAGGTAAAATGTGTGACAAACAGCTTTATAATGAAGAGATGTCCTGGCCTACAAATCTTGTTCTGCAGATTTAAGAAAGCATGTTAAGCAAAATTATGATTTTAACTTTGTTTGTGATGAAAATAAATAAAGATAATCCCCACAATAAGTGTGAATCTGTCAAAACAATCACAATATTATGTTTTTACCATATTGTGCAATCCTAATTGAAATGTGACACAAGGGTGACATATCAAGTCAAATAGTGAATACTGTGCACTGAACAATGTGATATGTTTCCGTGTCTTGTCCCTTCAGTGTGTGGTGGGTTAATGAGACGTCTTTATCTTACATCGGGTCACCATGTAACCTGACCTCTTGCTGTGTTTTTGGCTTGGCACTCTGCTGCTTGTATCCTAGTGCAGTGCATGTGAATTCACATTAAGTTGATGTTATAAGATAAAGGTAAACTAAACTAATGGTCTGTTCACTTTTGATTCTCAAAATGGGTAGGCTAGTTACTAAGATGTAAGGCTTACTGCAGTGCTGCTCTGAAGATCTTACTTCAGTGCTTCTTGACCAATGGGTTTTGCTGTCTAAGTTCTATTTCAATGACAACTTCAAAGGGCACGGTCCATACATGCTTGTTAGAACAGTTAAAAATAAGATGGTGGATTGGAACAGAGAGCTGCAGACTGGCTGTACGAACTGCAGTACCCTTATTAAGAGCCCTGGCTGGAGGGTGGCAGCTGTAGTAAGCTTTGATTCATAGCATTTACAATGGTGACCCAGCTTCATGGATAAAAAAAGGATTCAAAACATCCATAGAAAACACTACTGCTGTGTAATCCCGTCCTCTGCTGACCACTATAGGTATATTCAATAATCATACTCGTACAATGGTCGAGTACTGCTTTAAGCATCAGACGTTAGCTGTAATTAGCTTAAGCAAGAGACAGATCATTGAAAATTGCTAGTCAAAAAGCAGTATACCAAAAATGTTCCGTAAGTTAGGTTACTATGTCAACATCTGTGCTGAGAAGGAGAAAAGGCAGAAATTGTGCCCGATGATATGAAATAGGCTCAGATCTAGATCAGTAAAAATAATAGGTTACCTTGTGGGAGTAGTGTGAACCTCTACACTCACTGTCATTTATCCTCAATCACAGCGAGGTACAGTATTTGTCAGTTATGACTCAACATCAGTATTGTTCAACACATATCAAACTCAAATTGTTCCTGTGAATACCTCAGAGGACTTGATCTGATTTTAGCTCTCTGGAGCATCAGGCCTTGCATTGCGGTACAGCATTGTTATTTTAAACATTTTACACATCAAAGTGTTGACAGGTCTTGGGGAGTGCTACTGCATATGTGAACAAAGTCTATTGGCTCTCTAAAAGGTGCTGTTTGAAATCTGATACATTTCCTCAAGTGATGTCACTTGAGTCAGTTTTAGGTGGAGGTGAAGACTGCAAGTTTCAAACTGAAACAAATCTGGGGGTGGCATTAGTTAGACCGGAGCTTGCCAGACCTCTTTAGCCTGCTCCTCATTTCAGCTTGAGGCTACATTAGCTGCTAATTAATCTCTGACCAGCCTGTTAGAAGTCGACTTGCATTGTGGGTAATGTGTGTGCCAGGTTGAAAAGAAGAAGAATGCTTGGAATAAAAAAAAAAGATCTCTGGTTCTGCTGCATCAATTCTGATCCCTCTGTTCATAAACTGTCAGTGGAGAACTCTCTTTAGTGACATGAGAAATGATTTTGTCCTGATTTATCTGTTGTTTAGTTATTATTTGTTTATTGCATTTTGAAAGCGTGAAATGTTGCAATACCATCAGGAACATTTGCAAAGGAGAAGCAGAAAATAAAGAACGGAGGATGGTGCGTAGTGGGCCAGATGTAAGACTCAACAAGGCAGCATGCTAACGTTTTGAGCACCCTGTGGGGGATTTTGGTGGGCACTGGCTAGTACCCTGAGGTGGGTGAAATGTCACAGATGAAAGGAGCAGACTGAAACAGCATAGGGGATCATAGGCTGATGCCGATTTAGGGTTTGTGTCCACTGAAGTGCTCAGAAATTGGCACTGGGGTTATTTCCCCATGCATTTCTATAGCAAAGTGACACTTTAAACACTAACAACCCAATAGAGGGGAATGACCTCTTCTCCACTTGAAAAACAGTTCAGCGTGTCTGAGCCACAGCGCTTATCAGTGTCACTCTGGAGCTCGTCCACCCACTGCAGTTGGAGCACAGGTGTGATCAGACAGGAGTGGAGACATACTGCTGTGTACAGCACTATATATATGTGTGTAATGTATGGATCATTCTTTCAGCATGTCAGAAGAAGCCGTTTGGCCTGATTTACTGATGCAAACTCACCACAAAACCAAAAATAATGAGCCTGAAAGCCCCAGATTCTTGCTGTTTGCTCTCGCTAGTAGGGCTGAACATTCTCTACATTTTAAAGGAAGGCCACAGAGCTCACTTCAGTAACACATAAGACAGATATAGGAAAATGGATATCAGGATGTGGTTACCTTGGCAACATTAAGAGTCACTGTAGCCTCTTGAAGGAGCGTATTACCTTCGCAGGCCAGCAATTTGCCAAAGTCTAAATTCAGTGCATGTGAGCAATCCATTTCATTCTCTAAGCTCTTCTTTATCTACTTAGTAAATTCTCTTTGATCCAAGAGAGTGTGTCTGTGGACTAACTCTCCCAGCCCCAGCATAGGCTCTGTATACACACCAGGCACAGGCTGAAGTGTGTGTGCATAAATCTACATATGTGTGTCTGGGTTCGAGGTGAAGGTAGCCAGGGCTCATGTCTGCCACACAAAGCTTTGTGCCATTTCCTTTGTCTGGCTCCCCCACTCCAGGCTCCAACACAGAGTGGCTGGCTAAAAGAGAGCAGAGGGCTCTCATTAAAACCCATGTCAGCTTCTAGTCACTCCAGGCCATGTCCCTTTCTCCGCCTCCGCACATGAGAGATCAAGTCACACCGACAGTCCCCCACTACACATTTACCTACACTTCACAGTTCACTCTTCCTCCTGACAGTGGAAGTGAATACGAAAATGTAGTCCTCTCTTTTTTTCCCTACATTGTCAGTTGCATGAATACATACCTGCTAACTCTGGTTACCTTGGCATCTTGTTCCAGCGACTTAATAGCAGTCCAGACTTGGTGCATGTTAAAAGAGTGGGCTGAGAGTGGCAAGTGGCAGCTATTGAGCAGTGCCTTGTCTGAAGACTAAAGAAAAAGCAAGTTCGTTTGGATTGTGAATACCGGTCTGCTTTTCATAGTCTTTTTATTTATTTATTTATTTATTTAGCATTAGAACATTTAATATGGTCACTGGAAAACATCCTATTGGTGAATTTGCAAAGAAAAAAAACACATCTTGCTATAGGTAAATGAAATAAATAAGTAATAAGAAAAATAATAATAAAGCCAATTCATCAAGACAATATCAGATAAAAATATTAGCTTGATCAATAATGAAAATAATTGTTAGTTGCAGTCCTAGTCTGTGATAATGTTATAAACAAGGAGGTAAGTGAGACCGGGATGGTCGGTCTTTGTAATCCCTTCGATGCTGACATGTGCTTTCCAGTGAGAAGTGAGCACTGGAAATTAAACACCAATCACACAAGCACTTTCAGAGCTTAGACTTTAATCGTCGGTGCACATCTTTGACTTTTCCCTCTCCTCCCCTCATCCCACATTTTCTCTCTCACTGTCTGTCCTCCCAGTGTGTTCTCTACCTCTGGTCGCTCAAGATCAACCACCCCACCACACTCTTCCTCCTGCGTGGGAACCACGAGTGCCGGCACCTCACAGAGTACTTCACCTTCAAACAGGAATGTAAGTGCAGTGTTTCTCTCAGCAGTATGAAGGCCAGTCTAATGTGCTCCTACGCTCTCTGTAGCACTTCACAGTGGCCTGTATCAATCAGGTTTCAGATTCCTGACAAAGCATGGATGCGAGGGGTATGGCAAGTGCACGATCGCTCTTGCGCTTACTATAGCAAGTTATTTGATCATCCTTTTTTATTTCTACACACCAACAGGCACAAAATAAGAACACATAATTTTGAGAAACATTGGTATTTCCATGTCAGAGAAGAAGTGTGCGGTAACTGTGAGGTGACTGACTCCCCTTAATGAAATGACTAGCTTCCCTTAAGTAGGACATGTTTGTCAGAAAGTGTCTGTGGGATCAGGAAGTCCCGTCACAAGATGTGGCAGTTCATCAGTGTTACAGACTCCGCAGAGGAGATGAAGCCTTTTTCCTTTTCACGTTACAGACGATGAACTGCTGGAGCATGGAGAGCAGCCAGGCATGCTGCTGATGCTTTTCAGAGTTACACACACACACACACACACTGATTTCAGTCTGTGACAGTTGAGTGTGTGAATCTGTCTGTGTGTGTGTGTGTGTTTGAAGCAGGTGTGGAGGCATTAGTATGCAGGCTCAGAAACAAAGACATTTTGGCAGACAGCAAAGACAACCTCGCCAGCTGCAAATAGATTTCACTCTCTACATCTTCAACCCCCCCTCCCCCCTCCCCCACTTCCACCCACATACCACCTCAGCTACACACACAAACGGTGTCATTACATACTGCAGTGGTTTAGGTGGTGGTCATTGGGGGCAGGGTGTAATACTTACAGAATGAAATCATTTTTTTTTTACAATAAAAGCAATTAAGTATGTGTGCAAACTAAGTGAGCAGATAAAGCAGTAGGGGTAGGGAAATCATTGATTCTTAGATACATTGTGATCTTCACTTACTTTGAGTTTATAGGGCTTCCCCATCTTTTTAGTTTTATATATACCACGGCAAAATGACAGGTAGTGGGAGGAGAGACGAGGCTAATGTGCTTAGTGACTGAATGTGTTCTGCTCCTTGATATTGTTTATTTTAAACCCTGCCAAACTGACTAATCATTTCAGCACTGTGGTATTACATTGGATCACATTACAGATTTGTCCAGGAGATTAGGCAGTGTAGTTGGAAGATGATTACACGTATGACTGCGACCGAGGAATTTTATAACTGCTTGACCTTGACCTGTCTTTGTACAGGAGTTACCTATAGGACACATGGTTTTAGAGCAGAAAGTCCTGCACAGACATTGCAACAGACAGTGGACAGCCAAAAAAGTAGCCAGACTCTAAACTGAAACTTTCTACATGCAACATGATAAAAGAATGCTCATTTCAAGTACAAAGCTTCACTCTAAAGACTTATTTATGTAGCACTTCCTTGGTACTGGAGCATTGGTTTGTTCAGTCTTTAAAACCCACTTTGTACCGTCATTGGCTGCTCCTGCCCTATAAGGAGTCAGCTTCCTCCTGCCCTGATCTGACCTGCAGTGTTGTGCAAGTGACACTGCAGAAACTGCCTGGAAACGATCATCAGTCCCACTGTTGGTAGAGGAGCTGTATTACTTCTTTGCAACACTTCTGAAGAACCTTGACATGACATGAATAAGCAGATACAACAGAATTTTGGCCATTTGTGGCTGTTTTTTTTTTTTTTTAAGAAAAGAACTACAGATTATTTATACTATAGGGATGTCTCCAAAAATGAACTATATGTTGTGTTGTCGCAATGTGTTTGCTGCAGGTAAAATTAAATACTCTGAACGGGTGTATGACTCCTGTATGGAGGCCTTTGACTGCCTGCCCCTCGCTGCCCTGCTCAACCAACAGTTCCTGTGTGTGCATGGTGGACTTTCACCAGAAATCAACTGCCTAGACGACATAAGGAAAGTAAGTGATCAGATCAAATACAGAAATAGCATCATTCTTTCATGTTTCATGTTTCTGTCTAAGAAGGGAAGATCTAAATTCTATTTATTTTAATATTGGTTTGAAATGTTGCAGCCCATTTGGAGTTCATCACTGCGATTTGCTGCACGTAAGAAGTCAGTCCTAAGCAAACATTGTCTCTATTAACTGTGTTTCTGTTTTTTGTGCTCAACAGTTAGACAGGTTTAAAGAGCCTCCAGCATTTGGGCCAATGTGTGACCTAATTTGGGCTGACCCTGGGGAGGACTATGGCAGTGAAAAGACATCTGAACACTTCAACCATAACTCCGTCCGAGGCTGCTCTTACTTTTTCAGGTATTAGATAAAATAAAATTGCTCCCTTCATCACTCCTGCTGCAGCTACACTCACTCTAGTAATGCTTTAGTAGTGCAGTAACACCAAGCTCTCAGAACATTTATTGTAATGTAAACAATTGATTTTAGCAGAGATTTTTGTTGACCCATCTCACATAAATAGAAAAATAATGACAGATAATTGAAAATAGGCTGCATCATACAGGTCAGAGGATGTCACTTCACTTTTTTGTAGGTCAAACAGCTTATTGAGGCACTTTCAAAAATGGCCCTCTCAAAACAGGTTAACGGATAAAAACAGCTTGTTCAAAATAGGTTAACACATTAAATGTGACTTTTACAAAAATAGGTTAACAGATGCAAACAGCTTGATCAGAATATGTTCAATGAAAATAGGTTCAGAAATGGTCCACAGGCATACATCTTAATGGCACATAAGAAGGCTTGTTTGGAATCCTGTAGGTCGGCAGAGACAAAAAGCTGGCACTACTTAGTAGGTGTCCTGTATGAGGAATTAAGGGACAACCTACAGCTAATAAGAGTCGTAGTATTCACTCAGACCATGGAATCAATAGTATTTGCAAGTTTGATACATTATTTGACTTCCTGGAAGTTATGTTACAGCTGGTGTTGCTGCAGTAACTTCCTGATTGATAGGTTATTTTTGAGTGCTACAGATGTTTCCTCATAATAGATTTATACATTAAGACAGTCCCTAAGTTTTAATGATATTTCCAGACGTGATAAATCACTAGTTTAAACAAGCTTAGAATTTAGCAAGTACTTTCCACATAGTAATGGATTTACAGATTGCAGTCCTGCCCTGGTCTGAAATCCACTGAAGTGGTAAATGTTAGAAACTGTTATCTTGGCCTGATGTAGATCTGTGAAATGTTGAATGCCCACTAATTTTTCTTGAGCATTCCTAATGGATTGGTAGACCAGCTATAGAAGGAAAGGCAGTGAAAACACTCAAGTACCCTCATCCAGCTGAGCTCGTCTGCTCTCTTGCCTTCTTCCGTCTGCTTTGGTTACAGTCCCCAGCTTCGGGAGAGCCCAGCACAGCCCATAAATGCCAAAGTCCTGGCTCTGGGTGCTCAGCATCTTTAAACCCCTAGCTCAACAGGCCACAGGGCATGGCATGCTGAAAATAAATATAAAAGTATTTCAGTAGGCAAACAACAGTCAGTGAAGTCATAAGTGGCCTCATGCTGTTCCTTTAATGGTTTCAGTTTGAATAAGCTTTGACCTCCACTCTGTCTCTCTGTTTCTTTTTTCTCTTTGCAGTTACTCAGCCGTGTGTGACTTTTTGGTAAATAATAACTTGCTGTCAGTAATAAGAGCCCATGAAGCACAGGATGCAGGGTAAGTAGGGTTACAATTTTGTGATTAATTTCCAGCACATTATAATTTTATATTTGATGAGTCATTTTGTTTGCGGCCTGACAGGTATCGGATGTACAGAAAAAGCCAGACCACAGGCTTCCCTTCATTAATCACAATCTTTTCAGCTCCAAATTACCTAGACGTCTACAACAACAAAGGTTCTTGTGGTTTTTCTTTTTCTCACTCTCATTGTTGTATTTCTATTTTTATTTTATTTTTCAGTCCTTGAATCTCTTCTCGCATCTCTTTCCCTTTGTCAATCTTAGCTGCTGTATTAAAGTATGAGAACAACGTGATGAACATCCGACAGTTCAACTGCTCACCCCACCCTTACTGGTTGCCCAACTTTATGGATGTCTTCACATGGTCTTTGCCTTTTGTTGGAGAGAAAGGTATGTTTGTTGTTTATTTGGGCAAATGTGAATGGCAAGCCAAAAAGAAACCCTTTATTGCGTAGTCTGCGATACACTGACTTTGTGGAACATACAGACCCAGACTCACCCACATCTTATTTACGCCTGGTATTTAAATGCAACACGTTATCCTGATAAGGAAAAGCGCATGTTAATGCAAGGTGTAAGTGCGTTGTGATCAGAATTTGATCAGATCTGTAAAAGCAATCCGTACAAAATGATGGCATTCCATACACAGCATAACTGATACAGAATGGTTTTTAGCTAACATAAAATATAGGTTGATGTTTAAATTTAGAGAGCAAGCAAACGAGAAGGCTGAAAGAGACACGCTTCTAATTAGTAATTATGCATCTGTTCTGTGTATGAAAGTGCCAGAAGATGAGTTATTCAATAGAACTGCATGAGAAATGGAAGCATGGGAAATAGATGATATACAGTAAGAAATAACTGTGTGTGTGTGACTCATCAGTGCAGTTGATTTGCTGTTAACAATATCATTTATCTAGACACAGAGTTCTTTATGCCAGTTCTGCAACACACCAGGACAAACTTTATAATAATTTTAAACATAGGATGGAATAATTTATTACATTTTCCAAATTTACTGGAGGGGAGAAATAATTAGGCTTTGAGCTAAGTTTATAAAGTTTCCCCCAACTCAGAAACTCACAAAACAGTTTTTAAACGGGATTTGTAAGGGAGTGTGTTGCTGATTTTCCATCACTCAAATTATTTGCTCTGGTTTTTTGTAATTTTCTTTTTTATTGGTATTACAAAAGGAAAAACATACATACATACTTATACTTATACTAGCCAATAGGGTGTACATCATACGTCAAAATATTACAGCAAACCACACCTAAGACAGAACAGGAACAAGGACAGTGGATTATAACACAGACAGAGCATTATACATAGTATGCAGTGCCTCAAATTATACATATAAAGAGTATCACATTATATCATTGTAGGAACAGGTGCAACTCTTCTGCACATAACGTTGCCGTGACATAAGGGCACCAAATTTTCATATAGATACCTTTGCCAGAAAAAATCTAAGTGAATTGAGGCAGTGCCACCCAAACTCTGCCCCAAACATGGGTTTGGAACCAGTCTCAAGTTTTAATGTGGCTTCTATCCTCCACAGTGACGGAGATGCTGGTGAATGTACTGAACATTTGCTCTGATGACGAGCTCATGTCAGAGGGAGATGACCTATATGAAGGTGAGACTGAGAGAACCAAATATTGTTGTGGTTTTAGTCTGGATTGTCATGTACCATGATGGTGGAAATATTGTAATATTATTATTTTTCACACTTGTTTGTGTGATCATTTTGAAATGTAGTGATTGATATGGAGCACTGAATATTACTGGTTGCTTTAGTCTAAAAATACATAGATGTATTAAGTGCACATTTGCTTGGCTTGTAGATTTTCTCCAAAATTAATTCTGTTCTCTCATTTTTTAAATTGCATTCTCAGTTTAGTTTTTAATTTGGTTGAAATGAAAATGAGTCATGGCTCGCAGTTAATTGACTCAGAATGCTGGGAGCTATGCTTTTCATGTGAGGTGATTTATACACAGCACTTTCAGCCTATGTCCCAAATGTCTGATGATGAAGGAGTTCTCCTCCCTTGAGTAAAGCTGCTATGCTTTGAAACACACCATTAAACCCTCAGTTCATCTCTCAAATGTATCATGTGTTCATCCTTTGTTCTCTTCCCAAAAGGCTTTTATACAATATTTTGTTCGTTTTAAGTTAGTGCTAAGAAAGTAGTAGTAGGAAAGGATGTAAACGGCAGCATTGAATACTCAAGGTGTGTCTTAACCTTACATTCTGGACTCGTTCCAGGTGGAACCTCAGCAATGCGTAAGGAGGTCATCCGGAACAAGATTCGTGCTGTGGGAAAAATGGCCCGGGTCTTCTCAGTCCTCAGGTCAGACCCTGTCATTAACTCTCTCCCTTTGATGTATCTCTCCCTCTGTCGTGATAACACTCTAACAGGAAAAGGCTCTGTATATATGGATCACAATGAGCTCAGCACGGAGGCGGTAAGATACTCAAATTGAATAGCAGGTCAGCGTGAGGCCAGGAAGGTGCGGGAGTGTTAGTGAAATGAATGGAGTCAGTTGAGTGCACAATGAAGTTGTGTTTGAAAACACAGTGTTGTCCAGCAAGGATTAATGAGCTGGCACGAGATTAGTCACGATGCACCTAGACTGTATAATGACATTAGACATTATTCCAGATTAATGCTGCTGCTGCTACCTTGTCACACTGCTGCAAGTGAGCAACATGTAGAACAGCCTGTCTTT